CTTTGTTTTATTTTTATTCTCTTTAATATAACATAATCTTTATTTTATTTATTCTATTTAATCATATAAAACCAAAAAAACCGAACCCTTTGCTGTCGAGTCGATTCTGACTCATACCGACCCTATAGGACAGAGTGGCTACAGAAAGGGCTTAACATAACAACGATTGTGAAGATGGCGTAGGAGGAGGAAGTGTTCTGTTGTACATAGGGTCGCTACGAGTCGGAATCAACTGGACGGCACCTAACACAAGGACAGAGTAGAACTGCCCTATAGGATTTCCAAGGAGCAGCTGGTGGATTTGAACTGCAGACCTTTTGGTTAGTAGCTGTATCTCTTAGCCACTGCACAACCAGGGCTCCAATCATATGCTCTCTTTTCTAGAGAGATGGGCTCCAGTAGCTGATAGGCTCAGAGACTGTGGACCTGGAACCTCTGGAACCTCACAGGAAGGAGAGACTAAGGGTAATTATCAGAAAGCCCAGGGTTGAACAGGCTGACCCTTACATATCCATGCTTTCAGTAGTTTTTTTAAAATTGTGCATTAGGTGAATGTTTACAGTGCAAATTAGTTTCTCATTCAAAAACTTATACACAAATTTTTTTGTGACTTTGGTTGCAATCCCCACAATGTGTCAGCACTCTCTCCCTTTCCCCTTATGCCCCAGATTCATCACATCCATTCATCCAGTTTTCCTGTCCCTTCCTGCCTTCTCATCTTTGCTTTTGGGCAGGTGTTGCCCCTTTGCTCTAGTATATTTGATTGAACTAAGAAACATGTTTCTCACATATGTTATTTTTTGTTTTATAGGCCTGTCTAATCTTTGGTGAAAGATACACTTTGGGGGTGGCTTCAGTTCTGCGTTAGCAAGGCAGCCAGGGGCCATAGTCTCAGAAGTTCCTCCAGTCTTTGTCAGACCAGTAAGTCCAATCTTTTTTTGTGAATTTGAATTTTATTATACATTTTTCACTGCTCTGTCTGGGAACCTCTGTTGTGATCTCTGTCAGAGCCATTGGTGATGGTAGCCAGGCACCATCTAGTTCTTCTGGGCTCAGGCTGGTGGAGACTCTGGTTCTTGTGGTCCATTAGTCCTTTGCACTAATGTTTTCCTTTTGTCTTTATTTTATTTACTTTATTTTCCTTTGCTCTGTAAGGGGTGGGACCAATAGACGTATCTTATATGGATGCCTGAAGCTTTTAAGACTCTAGACACTATCACCAAAGTAAAACGTAGAACATTTTCTTTATGAACTATGTTATGCCAACTGACCTGGTTGTCCCACGAGATCATGGTCCCCAGCCCTCAACCCCAGTAACTCGGCCCCTTGAGGTGTTTGTGTGTGTCAAGGAAGCTTCTATGACTTTTGCCTTGGTCAAGTTCTGCTGAGTTCTTCTATATTGTTTGTTGTCTTTCCTTCAGCAAAGTTATCACTCCTCTACTATCTAGTTAGGGATTTCGCCTCCATACTGCTTTGCTCCCTCATAAACATAAAAACAATTTTTTTCTCTGTGTAAACCTATTCTAGAGTTTTTTATAATAGCGGTCTCATACAATATTTGTCATTTTGTGATTGACTTTTTTCACTCAGCATAATGACCTCCAGATTCGTCCATGTTGTGAGATTTTTGCTGATTCATCATTGTTCTTTATGTTGAGTTGTATCCGTTGTGTGTATGTACCATAATTTATCTATTCATCTGCGATGGGCATTTAGGTTGTTTCCATTTTTTTTTGCTATTGTGAATAATGCTTCAGTGAACTTGGGTGTACATATATCTATCTGTGTGATGGCTTTTATTTATGTAGGATATATTCCTAGGAGTGAGATTGCTGGATTTTAGGGCATTTCTATTTCTAGCTTTTAAAGGAGGCTCCATAATTTTTTCCCTGATGGTTGTATCGGAAACCTTGGCGGTGTAGTGTTTAAGTGCTACGGCTGCTAACCAAAGGGTTGGCATTTTAAATCCACCAGGCTCTCCTTGGAAACTCTATGGGGCAATGGTTTTTGGTTAGTGGTTGTATCCTTTTACATTCCCACCAGAGGTGCATAAGAGTTCCAATGTCCCCAAAATCTCTCCAACATTATTTTTTTTATCAGTACCATTAATGTCGTGGTGAGATGTTATCTCATTGTAGTTTTCATTTGCATTTCTCTAATGGCTAATAGTTACCAATTCAAATCCACCAGCCGCTCCTTGGAAACCCTATGGGGCAGTTCGACTCTGTCCTCTAGGGTCGCTATGAGTTGGAATTGACTCAACAGCAATGGGTTTTAATGGCTAATGATCACAAGCATTTCCTCATGTGTCTGTTAGCTGCCCAAATGCCTTCTTTGGTGAAGTACCTGTTCATATAATTGGCCATTTTTTAATTGGATTATTTGTCTTTTTGTTGTAGAGGCATTGAAGTATTAAATAGATTTTTGGGATTAGACCTTGGTGGGATTATCTCAGCCAATATTTTTTTCCCAGTCTGTGGGTTCTGTTTTACTCTTTTGAAGAAGTCTTTTGATGAGTATAAGTGTTTAATTTTTAGGAGCTTCCAGTTATCTAGTTTATCTTCTGGTATTTGTGCATTTTTAGTTATGGTTTGTACGTATTTATGCTGTTTAGTAGGGTCCCTAGAGTTGTCCTTATTTTTTCTTCCATGATCTTTATCATTTTAGTTTTTATATTTAAGTCTTTGATGTATTTTGATTTCGTTTTTATGTATGGTGTGACGCATGGGTCTTGTTTCATTTTAACAGATGGATATCCAGTTTTGCCAGCATCATTTGTTTAAAAGACTGTCTTTTCCCCATTTGATTGACGTTGGTCTTTTGTCAAAGATCAGCTGGTCATAAGTGAATGGATTTATGTCAGGTTCTTGATTCTGTTCCATTGGTCTGTGTGTCTGTCTTTGTACCAGTACCACACTGTATTGACTATCCTGGAAGTAGAGTAGGTTTTGAGATCAGGTAGTGTGAGGCTTCCTACTTTGTTCTTTTTCCTTAAGGAGGCTTTGCTTATCCAGGGCCTCTTTCCTTTCCATATAAAGCTGATGATTAGTTTTTCTTTCTCATTAAAGAATGTCGTTGGTATTTGGATGGGAATTTCATTATATCTGTAGATCTTTGTTTAGGTCTTTTACTTCCCTGGTTAGATTTGCTCCTAAGAATTTTATCTTTTTAAGGGCAACTATAAATGATATTGCTTTCTTCATTTCCTTTGAAGTTCTCTTTGTTGGTGTATAGGAATCCAACCCCTACACATCTGTCAGTTTGTCGTACTGTGGAGGCTTGTGTGTTGCTGCGGTGCTGGAAGAGATGCCACTAGTATTCAAATAAACAGCAAGGTCACCCATGGTGAACAGGTTTCAGCTGAGCTTGCAGACTAAGTCAGACTAGGAAGAAGGACCTGGCGGTCTACCTCTGAAAAGAATTAGCCAGTGAAAACCTTATGAATAGCAGAGGAACATTGATATAGTGTCAGAAGATGAGCCCCTCAGGTTAGAAGACACTCAAAAGACA